GGATGGGAATTATTAAATTCTTGTAAGATGCAGTTGAAGTCCGAGTTATCGTAGCAGACTATAAAGGTATCGTCAACGTACCTTTTGTATAGTAGTAATTTGTTTATTGTTGATTTTAAAACTCCACTCTCCATACTGGCCATAAAGTAGTCTGCTAAAAGCGGGCCAAGAGGAGATCCCATTGCAATTCCATCTTTTTGTATGTAGAGGTAGATCTCAGACATACAGCATGGACAACATTTTATATATTACGCAACGTTTTACAGAATCAATGATTGTTTGTTTCTGAAGTGAAAATATATGACAGTACAAGAAGAAAACTCTGCACTACTTGTTATAAGCAGGTGAGTAATACTACTGTCGACAACAGAGTTATAACCAGAACACCACAGATTATTTCAGTTTGATTATCAGACAACATGACCTACAATAGCATTGTGAAAACGACAATGTTAATCATGGCTTCCGATCAGAGACCACCATATGCTTGTCTAACTAGCTGATCGGTAGAGACAGATAGGTGATTCATGAAATGTTACTGCAACTTAATTCCTTCAGCCACGTGTGTTTGATTGATATTACTCCGAAACACAGTGCAACACAACTACTGTCAATACTTATCAGCTGTCTCATGTATGGCGATTATGTTGACATCATGCAAGAGACATACTGTTCCAGAAGGCTTACAATTCTTGTATCTCAAAATTAGCTTATAAGTAGAATAGGGATAGAATCTCTTCAGAGATTTAATACCGTAAACGTGAGTAATTGTCAAAGATCACATGAAAGTGTAATGTGACGATGTTGAAGACAGATAATATTCGGGGCAAAAGAATATCCAGTTTCCTCACACCTTCTGGTGTTATCTCTGTTGAAGCTGCCTCCTATTTTGTTTTTTATTTAGTGATATACTAATTCGCGAAACCACACTCAATAAATTATTGAATAAACAAAGTCTTACCTCAAGGTTACGTTTCTCACTTCTAGCATGATGGAGGTGGGTGTTCTTTTCACTCTTCCCAAAATGTTCTCTTGACTTGTCTGTCCGATTATCTTCCGTGATGTCAACCTCACGCTTTGAGTCACTCAAGTATGTCGCAGATTGTCCACTTTTTCAGCAGAATGTGATCAAACAATACTGATGTTATCAAAATGGAACTACTACTCGTCAATTGTTTTTGTTAAATTCACTCCTCTTGTTCTAACTCAAATGCGAATATGTTAAAATTCGAATTCAACCAACAATTTACTATAAAATGAACGCATTTACGAGAATGACTGAGTAAACTGTAGGAGTGAGATGATGCCAATATTATTATCTAGGTCAAATACTCTATCTTTGTTTTATTGACTGTGTGATTAGAAGAGAACTTTGACCTGTATTCACTGAACACAGGATTCACATTCATGTCATTGAAGTGCACACGGTAAATATTTGGCCCAGAAAATAATCATGAGATTCAACAAGAAGCAATGAAGCACTTCATTCTAAAATGCATAGACCTCATGTCCTCCTGTCCATCTGTGTAAACTCTAGAAAGTATATACATAAAATGTCTATCGCAGCACAGCTCAGTCGATTGAGCGTAACTGTGAACTAGCCTCCAGTTAAGATGAAATGGGTGATCGATCACAACAATATTATGCTATCTTTGTTGTCTCGACCATTAAGCCACTGGTCTACGAGCTCGCCTTGTAACCATAATGTCTTGTGTCTGAACCCTGGTGGTGGGTGCGTACTGATGAGGAAACAGCTGTCGAGTATTGCGAGGTCCTCCAGTGTTTCTCCAACTAATATCAGCTCATGATGAAGTTCTATAAACAATCAATCAAATCCCTACAAACCAATACTTGAAACTGTTTTTAATTGGCTATCAAATTTAGACAGAAATAACAACAATAATTCTGTAGTATGGAATCTATACTAATGCGAGAAACATGAATACCAGGTACACGATTTCATCACAAGCGTTTCAGTTCAGCCATTTCAGAAAATGCGAAACCACAGATCTGTATAAATAATTTGAATAGTGTTATAAAATGATGATGTTTCTCCTCTACTTAGGTGTAACTCGAAAAATACAAATCGATTGCAACTTAATTCCCCACTAAGGGGTTGTGACTATTAGTGAATTTAGGCGATGTACAAAAGATGTCGAAATCTAGCCCTCATAGCTTCTATACGGTTCAGCCTGTTCAGTGTATCTTTTAATAGTATTAATAGTCCGGCGGTTGACTAAGATAGATGTAACTCATACTGCTAATTTTGAGATATTATTTGATTGATAATCTGGCATGAATTCGTCATTTTCATCACCAGCAATGGGGGACATTTTATATTCAAAATCATGTTTATTTTATGCAACTGGAATCGATCATTTTTCAGGAACCAGCATGAATCTGTAGGATCAGAAATTTTATGCTACACAAAGTCGAAATGCTTCATGTTTTCGACCGGAATCATAGAGCTAGTACACAATTTCGACTTATTTGCAGTGTTACTTCTAAAGTATACATCGCTTAGTAATGTGTTACCTGACACAAGATCATTTTGCGTTCTGTGCACTACAGATTTACTGGCTACCAAGTGCACTAAAATGATACCCAAAGATAGACGTTTCATAGGTGATATCGTTAACTCCGGTTTTGTTTTTAATGCGCTGTTTCTTCTGAATACAGAAGATGATGTGAGCACATGGGAGTTAGTCAAGTGAGAGGTAATTTTCTCCATTAACGAAACTGAAGTGTAAGCCTTCTTGTAAACACTGCATATGTTTCATTGAGTCCTGTAGACTTGGGCGTATTCGCAATTCTCTCTCTGCTCAAAGTAACTTATGTTTGAATCTTGACTATATATTCTTTTACCTTGTGAATTCATTGCCACATGGAGTGTGTGAAATGATTCGTCGAAAGTCGAATATTCAGTCTTAGGAAAAAATGCAGGATATAATTTAGACAGAAAGCAAGATGGTTGTTTCGAGACAATTTTCAGCACAAATCAAGCCATTTTTCCGGTAACGCTTATGACTGTGGAAATGTAGAGCAAGTAAATAGAAGATTCAAATGGTTGTTCCATGCAAATGAAACGCGACAACTTATTCTGTGTTTGCTCAAACTGTAAGTTTATAATCCTTTACAAATCCACGTACACATATTATACGTTTACGGAGAATAATTTTACAAGTGTTTGTGGAATATCTGACGTTGTATTTCTGAACATTGCTCTTCGTTTGTTACACATTTATCTTACGCGGTTAGATACTTTCGCGTTCGCCTCGCACTTTTGGAAATTTGATTTCGTTAACAACACATCTTTCCACTTGTGCTTCTCAATACAGTGTTGTTCTTCTTTGGCAGTGAACAGCGTCACCACATAACAGAACGTGAAAACATTATTATAACTATAGAGTTATAATCGAAACCCCATTAAGTACTGCATGAATTTATTAACTGGACGTATGGAAACTCATTCCGGATAATAAGCTTCCTAACTATGTTGAATCTATACACTTTGCATATTTTGAACTCATTTTGTGAGTGAGTCATTGGAACTCCTTAGGCACTTGATCGATTGTCGAGGAATTGTGCCAGTCCCTGACAATGTGAATGGTATAAGGAATAATCCGCTACCTTACTGTTCAAAGAAGATACAAGAATTTCAAGGTTATTCATCAGTTTTTAACGTTATTCTATCCCAAATGCGCAATAGTTTCGCAACGGTTTACTGACTGCTTACGTAAATACAGCGCTTACATCATGTGAACCGTGGAGACAGTAAAAGCTGTACCTTCCAGCATGTGGAAAGCATGTGTTTGGTGGCCAGATAAACAGCTGGTAATTCTCCACCGAAGGTGCTATAGCGACACTAAGTAGGAATCAGTCGTTTTGAAAAGAATGCGAAGGGCTGGCATTCACCGAGTACTTGTTGTGGCAGAACCGCCCTAATGGCAACGTTTGAGTTGTTCGGCATGAGGGAAAAAATGCGCATTATCTTTGCTTCTGACTGTGAGTGTCTTCTCGTTTAACAGCTGGTTATTAGCAAAACAACACAACAACTCACCCAGTGAACTAAGAAATCCTGAGTTCATATTGCATCTCAACTCAGATATAAGACACGTAAAAGGTAACAATAATGAAGTTGCAGACGCTTTGTTACGTTCGCACATAAACAATATTGCATTTTACAGTGTCGATTGTGAACATCTCACCATCCTACGATGAATTGATGGTTCGATAGCGAAGATTGAATTTCGAGGAGAGATTTACAACAAAAAACTTCGTCATTGGACGAACCAAGAACTAATCAATATGCGCCAGGAAACCTGGATGTACTGGATATGGCCTGATAAGACTGTTTGACTGATACGAAGAAGAAACTTAAATGAAATGCGAACGGGAAATGACGAATTCAGTGTTTTTCTAAGGTTAAAATATAGAACATCGCCTCAGGAGCAAATGAAGGCGTATGGGGATTCATTAAGTCAGCCGGAAACTACTCCAGAGGACTCGGTGAGGTGGACATGGGCTGTTGAAGCGCCGAATTCCACTGGAAACCCTATGCAATAATGAAATGTATCAAATAATAATAATAATATAATCACTAGCTGGCTTCTGCATTCGAAATAAGTATAATATATACATTTATTAATAATGAAACTGGAAGGTGAAATTGATACATTATTTAAAACTAAACAGAATAGAACAAGTGATTCGACAAAGATGATTACAATTTACTGTCGAAATGAGAATGGTGTGATGCAAAAGTGGATGAGAGCGACTCACATTTATACAAATCGTGATGATGTCATATAAAAATAACATATGGTAAACGAAATTATGAACGAGTACTGATATCTCTGATAAATGTGAATGAACACGTTTTATTCCTCCACCTTTTCATTTGTAGACAGAAATATCTGGATGTTTTCATAAGCGAAACGTATCGAGTGTTAGCGAAATCATAGAAATACCAATGTTTTCACTTGGAATGAGATTCTTGTTTATTTCTCCGCTGATGGGTGTTCAGATTCAGCTGGAGGTGAGGGTTTCGATCCGTCATTGCCGGACATTGGTAGTCCGAGTGGAGGGGACTGTCCACCTGAAGGTGGTTGGTACATCGGTGCAGATCCCTGTGGGGATCCTGGAGGAGGGGGTGGTGGTAACTGAGGAGTTCGCCCATCAGATGGCGGTGGTGAGAATTGTGGAGGTTGTGCGAATGGTGGAGGTGGTTCATATTGTGGAGGTTGCCCATTCGATGGCGGTGGAACGATTTGTGGAGGTTGACCACCTGATGGCGGTGGCCCAGAGTGTGGAGGTTGCCCATTCGATGGCGGTGGAACGAATTGTGGTGGTTGTCCGAATGGTGGAGTGGTCCATATTGCGGAGGTTGCCCATTCGATGGCGGTGGAACGATTTGTGGAGGTTGACCACCTGATGGCGGTGGCCCAGAGTGTGGAGGTTGCCCATTCGATGGCGGTGGAACGAATTGTGGTGGTTGTCCGAATGGTGGAGTTGGTTCATATTGTGGAGGTTGCCCATTCGATGGCGGTGGAACGATTTGTGGAGGTTGACCACCTGATGGCGGTGGCCCAGAGTGTGGAGGTTGCCCATTCGATGGCGGTGGAACGAATTGTGGTGGTTGTCCGAATGGTGGAGTTGGTTCATATTGTGGAGGTTGCCCATTCGATGGCGGTGGAACGATTTGTGGAGGTTGACCACCTGATGGCGGTGGCCCAGAGTGTGGAGGTTGCCCATTCGATGGCGGTGGAACGAATTGTGGAGGTTGTGCGAATGGTGGAGTTGGTTCATATGGTGGAGGTTGCCCATTCGATGGCGGTGGAACGAATTGTGGGGTTGACCACCTGATGGCGGTGGCCCAGAGTGTGGAGGTTGCCCATTCGATGGCGGTGGAACGAATTGTGGAGGTTGACCACCTGATGGCGGTGGCCCAGAGTGTGGAGGTTGCCCATTCGATGGCGGTGGAACGAATTGTGGAGGTTGACCACCTGATGGCGGTGGAAAGAATTGTGGTGGTTTTCCGAATGGTGGAGGTTGTGCGAATGGAGGAGGTTGTGCGAATGGTGGAGGTGGTGCGAGCTGTGGCGGTTGTCCGAATGATGGTGGTGATGCGAATGGTGGAGGTGGTGCGAATAGTGGAGGAGGTCCGAATGGTGGCTGTGGTCCAGCGAAGGGTGGATATTGTGGAAGTCTATTTTCGTTCAACGGAATACCTAGTGCACAGCGTAAAATAATTGAAACAGGTTCAATCACATTCAAAATATGGAATTAAGTAATTTATTTTGATAACAATCCGCACATAGTTAGACCAACTTTTATGTCAGTCAGACTATGTTATTCCCAGATAATTTCTCGAGAATAACTGCACAATTATTATTTCGAAAAGAATGCACAAAATCAGGCTACTAGCTTCTGAGCTGCTCAGTGTTTCCCTTTCTGGAAGTTCAAGAAATAATAAAGTGTCATGAAAGAGTAATATATCTGTCAGATCAAGAGTATTAATCCTAAACACAAAATCAGTATCACTTTCATGAGCAACGCTTTGACGCCAAACTAATCTGTGCTAAATAGTCCTATAAAATCCATCAGAAGATACCCGCGATTTCCAACACACTCCTAAGAGCTTTCCGAAGTGAATCTCAAGTGGGGGACTACAAGGGATATTTTCATGTGACTTCAAGCGTTTACTTGCAAAACCGATTCTAATTTTCTCGCTTGTGCATTTCAGCAGTAATATGAAATAAAGCCTGAATTTCATAAAATGTGCAAAGCAGTGATATTGATATTATTTTTAAAATCATACGTTAACAAGCTGTAAAGTAGTGGCTGAGTCATATCTCGTTGTCTCCACGTCTTAATGTAGAAGATTAGATGGGAAGTGTTCTTGGAAATCGATATGATACATGATGACGAAGGAAGAGAGGTCAGGGGATAATTCTACTTCACGGTATTTAATGCTTGACTAAGTTTCTGTTTCAGTACCCTCTTCGCTGGAAACAGCTTTTGAAGCATCTACACCTTAATGTCAAGTTAATTGACTGAAATTTAGAGGTGTTGAAGCAAAAATCATTTAGCTTAGACCATTGTCTGATATCCGAAGAGTAGCTGTTAAGTTTGGAACAATCAGATCGAGACGTATTTGTCAGCGAGACAATGAGAGAGAATATTCCTGACTAAGTGTTTGAATGTTTGGCTGATTAAACTTCTATCGGCATACTACGCTTGATTAATCGTGTTTTATGTGTATTAATACAGCAAAGTAGGACATCAGTTCATATGTACGTGTAACAATAACTCAGTTCAAGCCGACTTACTGTTTATGTGAACATTATAAATGTCAGCACCGATTAGTAGAAACAAGAGGATACTTCGCATAATTTTCACACACTTTTCGCAGTAATCAACCAGATGAGAACAATTCTATGAAGAAAGAAGGAAAACAAGTTTGATGCGATGAACAGAATGAAAATACGATGATAATATCGCGTATACTTGTAATCCTCACTTCTTTGGTATATATAACTTTAACGCACAGAATAACCGAGGCTAACTGGAAACGATAATTATTTCTGGACTTTGAAAGCCGATTACTTATTGCGTGTATCGGACTCACAATGTCAAGAGAAATATACTTACGTAGACACATTAAGTAGTCAAAAGTTGGACAGGACAATGCAGACCGCATATGCTAATTATGTTGTAAAGTGTTAGAGATAGATACGTGCGTAATTTACAATTTGCCATTATAATTTGTGCATTTTACACTTAAATATTTAAGGACTGTTTCTCCAGCCATGAAATATGAAAGATGTTGGGAAGCAATGTTTATCGTCAAAGGTTCATGAATAATATTACAGCACCCGTGAGCAGAATATTGAGAACATGGCTAGCCAGAGCCTATCATGCAGCCAAGCTGGTTTCCATCTATCGAACAACTTGTTTTTTGGTACAGTCAAAAATAGACTGATATCCTTGTCACGTTAACTTCAATTGTATTTACAAATTTACATGTATCTGCGGAAGCAGTTACATTGTGAGAACAGAAAGAATGGCAAACCTACGATTTTCTAAACTTGTACTAAAGGGCCTATGTCTGAAGGGAACAGATGCTTTGAACAGTGCCCTCGCCAGGAATCTCCTTGACACGCGTCATGAGGTGGACTTCGAAAGATCATTCAAACCTATCAGTAGGCGAGGAACAGTGTTCGATTCTCCTCAAGTTTGCCGAAGCAATATCCATGAAGTGGGTTGAATCCGATTAATGAGTTGAGAAAGAAGCGAATGTCAGTGTTTCTTTTCACTTCTAACTCGACATTTTCATCCTGTCTTTCATCTGACTACACGTTGTCGAATGTTTCCATTGTGTTTGACTATTAATGTTCGGAATAAAGTGTTTATTATCATTACTAGCATTATATACATATAATGACTGAATAATTCTTGTTTAAAGATGAACTCTGCAAGGATGTCAAGATTGTTTATATCCGTTTAATTATTGATGTCTTTGAGTTGTGAGCAGGTGATAAGAAGCCAACAAAATGAATGATGGTACCATTCTACTCTGCAAACACTGTTGTTCTTGCTTCGTTCAGATTCATAGAGCGTAATAAATGTTTGAAATAAAACGCCGTTTAATTAGGATAGTAATAATAACAATAATTATCAATAGTATATGCAAAAGTTAGGCTTACCAATTTCTCTAATGACAGATGAACTGATTAGATAAATATGACTGTATTATTTATGCAGTTTTTACCTGTTACTCAGTCTCAGTTTATTGTCACGTACACATCTTGATTTAATTAGGTCATTCGATAGCTTGTGTGACTGTTTCCAATCAATCAGATCGCTGATACATGATTAATTGTTCATAATGCAAACAGACAACATGAGTCATTCATTAGAAATAAATGACTGTCAACAGTGTAATGTCTTCGAATCAAGTGTCTTTTGTGATTTTGTTTCATAGTGCAGTTACACACTGTTAAACAGATAATTAAGCATGAAGTTATCAATCAAAGGCGTGGGTGGTGTTGAAGATCATTCAGTTGAGTGCTGTTGACCTGATACACAGTGGATGCTTTTTTAATACGTATTATCCACTTGATTTTGTAAAATGCTGTAGGCTGTATGTCTACGACAGATAAAACCTTTTTCTGTGAAACGTCTAATGAAATGTTCGAATGATGAAAGTAGGAGTATATTTGTGATGCATCAATTTAGGCTTCCATGTAAATACCATTAGTCCAATGAGTTTCTTCTTTAACTGGTCTTTATTAGAATACACAAAAGGCTATAGACAAAACAGCACATACAAAATGGTATGAAAGTTATACATACAACAAGAATGTGGGCATTATAAGTGTTGTAGAATATTTTAAATGCCCAGTCGAATTATTTACTCTTATTATTATTGTTCCTTTGAATTCCGAATAGGATATGGGTCTTCAGGAACACAACTCCACTTTGTTGTATTTTCCACGGTCCCATTCAACTGGATTCTTGTTAGACCAAACTCTCTCATCCCTTCCTCACACGATCCCCTCCGTGTGGTAGTGACACCGTGTGACGACCCACTCGTCGCTTCTCGATGGAATTCCACTCGGGAGATAGCCTGCATTGCACGCGATGTCATTCGATAGTAGCCTAAACGTGTACCCGATCCATCTCCATTGCCTCCTACATATTTATTGAATAATCGGGTCTTGCTCCGTTGGTCTGTTATCAGCCGGAGTTTTTTTGTTGCTAATCCTTTCTTTCTGGCTATTTGATCTTCAGTATGGAGCCAGCCAGTGAAGGTGGCAGATGTTGATGAAAGCCTGCGGTAGCCTGTTGGAAATCCTTATCGTGACACGCAGTGCAAGTTTCTCACCCGCATAGAAGACCTGACCGATTTCACATTGGTGTTGAAAAACTGAGTCGTGTTCCTTGTGATGAGTGTAGAAGATTACCAAGCTAGTTTCAGGTTGCTGAAAGCGTTTCTTGCATTTCCGACTCTGACTGGCCTTGACATGCTCATCAGTTCCGGCTGACTGTAGTTGAAATGCTGCTTCCTTGGCGGATAATTGAAGGAAGTAACATCTGTCACATTTCTCGTGTTGATGGTGATAGGTGCTGGTTGTTGTCGTTGTTGTGGTTCTTCGGTTATATTCACCAACTCCGTCTTCTCTATGTTCACGTGGAGTGCTGTATTCGCTGCTGGCCTCTTGACCCACTGTGTTGATCTTCACCTGCAAGTCTTCGAGGTTGTGTGACATTAGGAATACTTCATCGGTATGCGAAATCCAGATCGTCTAGAGTCTTCTTATCGTTGATCTAGTGTATTTCTGTCTTCTCACTCACAATGCACAGTCTAACGCATAATCCAGTCCACTACATTGAGGAATATCATCGGTGATATTAGAAAGCCAGCTTGTCTTACTCACTTCGGGCGACTCTCTGAATTCCCGTTGGGGATCGACTGACACTTGACACTGTAATAGAGGCAGCTGTTGGATGAAGTTAACAAATCTTCGGACACTGTACGCCGTAGTGTTCAAGTATTTTTCAAATTACTTCTCGGTCTATGCTGTCTGTTGGAGGCGTTTTCGAAGTTGATGAAGTTGAGGTGGAGTGAGGCTTGACTGGCACTCTACTGGACTTCATCAGCTCGATTGCATTCGGGATTACTGCTTTCGTCGGAGCATCGGTATCTTTTGGCGGACAATACTGTGCGTGCTGTTAGTGGTATTTCTAGGTGACTTGCAGATGACGGTCGACTCAAGATTCCTGTAGAATGAATAGCCCATTGTTTTATTCGTTTCTCTTTTTTGGTTAAAGGTTACCTCGACCATCCTTTACAGTTTTCATCATCTGGGTTGATATTTCCGGATAGCGAGCAGCTTGGTCGTCCGATATCATGTGCTGAATGCACTTTTGCCTGTGGCCTACTTGGTCTGCATCATTTTACAGACAGTGTGTCCTGGAATTGTCTTCTGTCTTTCCTAGTTCTCTTCTTCACTTCACTATTCAGTGCAATGCACACTGACATGAATTACTCTATCCGTTGAGAGTATCCGTTGAGAGCCACTCCTTGTTTTGTGTTTTCTTTCTTCTTAGAACTGCTTCACATGTTTCCTTGAATATATGTCTCCTCCAGAGAGTTTCAGTGTTTTTCTATACATATCTCGTCGTCGGTAACACGTAGCCTCACCAACAGTGCTCTTATCTGATCTGTAGCGAAGGAATCCCTTGTAGTTTTGTCCTTCAGTTTCATGGTGTTGAATTTGAACTACAGTCTCTCTGCAGGTTTACTGAAGGATTTCACCTTCACCATCAAGGTTCCTTGAACTGGATGATGATCTGTGCCCACATCTTCTTCCATTCTCGAAAGTTGCGTCAAAAATTACTTCAGCAACATCGAGATGAAATCTAGCTGGTTTGTAGTATATCCATCAGGCGAAATCCATGTTGCATTGTGTATATCTTTGTGTTTGTACACGCTCCCTCCGATCACCAAATCATTGAAAGCACACAAGTCGGCGAATAATTCTCCGCTCTTATTCATTTCTCCGAGTCACAGTCTCTCGACCCATGATGAGTCCGCTTCCTGTATTATCTGGTCCCAGTTAGCTGGCATTTATATCACCCATAAGGATTTCGATGTCACCATTCGGGATGTTGTGCACTACTGCATTTAGTTGTCTGTAAGAATCCTCATTCTCGTCTTGTTTCGCGATGTTTTTACCATTGGATAATTGTTACCTCTCTTTCTGTGTTTTGACTTGAATCTTGCTGTCATGATCCTGCAGGATGAAATCGGTTCCCACTGGATTAGGGCTCCAGCTGCCACTGGTGACATCGTGGTAGCCACTCACTGCCTCAGTGTGTTCGTAGTTGTCATCTGGGTGACCAGACTGGAGTAGATTACTGACTCTGGTTGACTGTTTCGATATTCCATATGCATTTCATCTGATCTCGCTGAAACCAACCACTTCTATGCGATATCTTCGCATTTCCTTGACTACCTGAGAAGCCTTACCAGCCAGTCTCGTATATTGTACGGACATTCCACCTACTCATTCTTATTCTTGCTTTCACAGAGAGAAGACACATCGGATGGCGGAGTGGCTGGCTAACTTGCTTCCCGAAGGCTGGCTTTCCCCAGCACGCTATGTCATTTTGCCTCTTCGATTTGAGAGAAGAATAAGATTTTTGTTGTTTGAATTTTTTGTATATTGAATATGTTTTTGTGCGTTGAAGTTTCTCTAGCGGTTTGATAGCTTTTGTTGTGTAGGCTTGTTAGTCCCGCATCCCACACTCTCCCTCTTCACCCGGACTTGGGGCCGGCTAGAAAAATAGCAAGATAGTTGACTAGGCGAGGTTTCAGCCGAATT